GTGTGTGTGTGTGTGTGTGTGTGTGTGTGTGTGTGTGTGTTTGTGTGTGTGTGTGTGTGTGTGTGCTCGCCTCTACCTATTCTCCTCCACGGGGATGAATCCATTTGTGGAGATGGTGACACTGTCTCTCTGTTGGGCGGAAGATGGACCGTGGGACAGAGTGTGCCTGTCACTGATAAGCTCACAAAGGCTCTTCTTTGGGGAGGCAAGGCAGTAAATCACAAGAACCTCTCTTACTGTTATTTAGTGCTGCCTAAGAACGTACAAAGGAAATGGAAACAAGGCGTGACAGTACACAGGGGCCTGTGCAAGAGGAATGGAGGACGGGTCCGGCCGGACCGCTGACTTCCGTCCTGTGCTTGGCACCCACCCCTCTGCCAGGTGAACGGTCACAGAGACGGCGGCAGCCCGGCGGCTCTGATCAGAGAGCTCTTGCGGAATCAAACATGCAATTAATTAGAAAACAATTTGATTTCTCATTGTTAGTAGGGTGGAGATGAAGGCGGAGTCACCTGCAGTGAGTGAGTTTTGCTAGTTTTATCTTCAAGGCAAAGAACACACTGAAAGGTGTCAATAATTGTCAGCAACTCCTGAGGTGATATAAAATTAAACCATCAACCAGAAGCCATTCAGGATCCTAGAGCAATGACTGTAAATATGCCACAGAGTATTAGAGATTAAATGCAGAGTTAATTTGTTAGATCAGCTCAATATTATTTCTTTTATATTGAAAATAGTTATTGAGAAAAATTTTACTTGAGTTTTGGCTAAGGGTTAATGTGTGTACAACAAAGTGTTTTATAATCTAGAAAATGTTGTGAAAGTTATCTCCAGTCTCTTAGCTGGATTAAAGTGCGATAACATCATTATCATTAGGCAATAATATAAATCAGTGTTCTCTGTTTTAGAATAGTAGAGTTCATATTGTATTCATAAAACCTGTGAATAATGTTTACAAGTACAATTTGTGTGTGTGTGTGTGTGTGTGTGTGTGTGTGTGTGTGTGTGCATGTTGCTTCTGTGGTTTGAGCTCAGGTCCTGGGCACTGTCCTAGAGATTTGCTCAAGGCTGCTAGTACACCACTTGAACCACAACTCCACAGCTAGTATATTAATGATTAACTTGATAAAAGTATGCCAAAGGCTGGCTTTGACCATGATCTTCACATCTCAGCCTCCTTAGTAGATAGGATTGCAAGTGTGAGCCACTGGTGTCTAGCTACCAGTACAATTTTTAATAGAACTTAGTTTTAGCCAAGCAACCCTAGGGTAAGGGTATCTGAAAAAGGTGAAGACATGTGCCTTGCTTCACACAAGCATGTGGGGAACTGCTCCTGTATAGTCAGTTGAGGATTTGATATTAAGAAACCTGTTTCTTTAATTCACATCATTGGTTTAAATATGTTTACTCTGCATATTAAATAAAGAGAAAATTACACTCATTTAGCACTTGAAGCATACTGAAAAAATAGAGATACAGAAAAAATTCAGATAAATCCTTGCTCTTCTTAATTTAAAAAAATTCTATAGAGTTGGAGGACCTAAATGCCACAGGTGTAGAATAAACTATGCAAAACCATGAACACTAAAGTCAACTAAGTGGACACACAGACCTCTGAGAATCAGCATCTGGATGCACAACCCTCTGGGAGTCAGCATCTGGACACACAGTCCTCTGAGAGTCAGCATCTGGAAGCACAGTCCCCTGGGAGTCAGCATCTGGACGCACAGTCCCCTGGGAGTCAGCATCTGGACGCACAGTCCCCTGGGAGTCAACATCTGGACGCACAGACCTCTGGGAGTCAGCATCTGGATGCACAGTC